GACTACAAATTTTAATTCGGACCGTTGGTAATTAGAAAGTGGACCGTTGGGACATTTTATTGGAGACAAAATCTGACTCCTTTGCAGTACTCATACAGCCCATTTACACGACTTTTTCGATTTTACCCCTTTGCAGTAGAGAATCTTCATAAAGTGCGCATGTGATGAGGATGAAATTATATTTTTCTCTTCAAATTGCCTACAATAAGTCAATGGAAGAATAAAGTGGGATCGCCGATGTGACCCAAAAATTGATTTTGGAGCTAGGATAATTTCTCCCAGACACAGCCATAATACTGTAAAATAGTTTCACGTTCGTTATTTGATTCAAATGAAAATTTATGGAGCAAACATAACTGAATTTATTATCCATAAATTAATATTTTGTATCATTCTCAAATTAATAATTGTCCACTACATTCTGATTGGCTAGATTATACATCAAGTGAGCTCATGATGTCATTGTTAAATTTTAAAGAAATGAAAGAATATGTGATACATAATGAAAAATACTTTTTTTTTGGAAGTAATTCATATGAATATCATAATCATGCATCATATGTAAGGTTTTCTTACTGAACGTTAGTTCATCCCACGTTGTCCCTTCCCATTTTCAGATGATGAAGGCAAGATGATGCGAGGTGACGACTTGTTGGTGACACAGATTCAGCACTATCATATTTAAATGTTGAATTCGTTTTTGTAATTGAATTTAAAATTCATTTTAATTGTTCTATATTTTGTTGACCACAAATTATTTTAAAATAATAAGCCATTGATACTTATTATGACAAAGAAAAATTTAATTGTTTTCCGCATTTATGATTTTAAAAGGAGAATGAAGGATAATACTTCTAGACCTAGGTGTCTAGATTTTGGGGTGTTACATATTGGTATCAGATCCTAGAGTTATAAAATCGATCCTGTAAACTTTATAAATATAATTAGAAAAGAAAAGAAAAAGGGGTATCATACTGAGTTCTTGCCGCAAGTTGTCCTCTCGTAATCATTTGGTAAGATTGAAATAGATTTTTATATTGTCAATTTCTGCTTGATACTTAATTGTTGTAGTAGTAACATAATTTT